GGAAAACTCTGTTTATCAGGCAATGTCTCCACCAATCGATGACCTGGGAAGACTAGCGAGGCTTGGTACTGACCCTTATGTTCAGTATCCGTAGCAATTGATTGCCACGCATCCGTTGTGAGAACGAGGGTGAGGTTGGCGGGGGATGGGCCGGAGAGACTACTGAGAAGTGCCACCATTCTGACACAGGGGAGCATACGCACTCTTACCAGAGTGTTTTTAATCTGCATTTGGCCATCCCGGTGACCAGATACGTTCTGGAAAGCACATGTTCAAGTGTGTTCTGAATGAAGGAAAGTCGTCAGATAGCTTGGCGCTTAACTCTGCATGTTGTTTGGGGATGCAGGGCAGCTGCAGCATGGGTCCCGACGGGTCTGGCGGCAGGTAGGAAGAAGGGGGGGGGCGTGCGGCATCTACAGCGGTTGGTATGGTGGCATCTATGGCGGTTGGTATGGTGGCAGCTATGGCGGTTGGTATGGTGGCAGCCATGGCACTTCTGCAATGTTGTTTGAGGAAGTAGGGCAGCTGCGTCACCGTCCTGACGGTTATGGCGGCAGAAACTGGGGCACAGCTGCAGCACGGGCCCGAGGGGTATGGCGGTAGGTATGGTGGCAACAAAGGTGGCAGGGATGGCGGGTATGCGATAGCTGCCGTTGATTTGATCTTGTCATGGAGGTAGCAAGGCTGATTTGCTGATTATTGTTGTGGCGAGACACACCTTCAGTTACCTTCGGTGGCGAGTGCTGTCATCAGCCTAGAGAGAGGGTGAAAAGCTGGTGGCCCTGTCAGCAACCTGATCTGCAGAAGACGGAATTGTGAAACGAGTGTGATGCGCATCTGGGCCTCAGGAACGCAAATCGTACGGGCGCAGAAGTTGCGAAGGGGCATGTGGAGTCTTTCCTTGAGGATGGATTAATTGCCTGTCTTTCTGATTCGGAGGAATAATCATGAAGATCGCAGTGTGTTTCACCAGGATGAGGGTCGTTGAGATGAAGCTTGAAATTTGAAAGGTAGGGGTAGAATCTAGAGGAAGGTCGACAGATGTTGGGCACTTGAGAGGGGGGATGGTTTGGTTTTGTTGAGAGGGGGGATGGTTTGGTTTTGTTGAGAGGGGTGATGGCTTTTGGTTTTGTTGAGAGGGGGGAAAGGTTGATGGTGTGAGGTTAGTGACAAGGCTGTGTTGTTAGAGATTGCACACAGTGGGAGTGGAGGATATTCTTTTTTTGGTAGCCAATTGTACTAAGGATCTTTGGTAGCTGGTTTATCACTTATGCACGCGACACCAAGAACGAGCGTGAAGTAGGTTGTGAAACTTCTCTTCATTGGCACGAGGTATTGTCGAAGCGTCAACATGGTTGGTCAGTTACTTTACCATTGTAGCTTGCAATGTGACCCACTTCATCAACATTTTTAATCGGAAATGTTTCATAGGAGAAAAAAGTGCGTCCTCACAATCAAAGAGTTTGGAGTTTTTATGACTTGCATCCCTAGTGTGTGAATGTGTGCGAATATGTGTGCACGTGGCAGAGCGAGAGAGAGCGTATGTGTGTGTGTGTGCACGTGTGAGAGAGAGAATGTGTATCTGTACATGTGCGCGCACGTGTGTGTGTGTGTGTGTGTGTGTGAGAGAGAGAGAGAGAGGGTGTGTATGTGTACATGTGCGCGCGCGTGTGTGTGTGTGTGTGTGTGTGTGTGTGTGTGTGTGTGTGAGAGAGAGAGAGAGAGAGAGAGAGAGTATGTGTACGTGTACTTGTGCGTGTGGTTGATCTTGCTTCGCCATTTTTAAATGCAAATCCAAGAGAAAAGTAGAGAGAGAGAGAGTATGTGTACGTGTACTTGTGCGTGTGGTTGATCTTGCTTCGCCATTTTTAAATGCAAATCCAAGAGAAAAGTAGAGAAATTTTCTCTGTTACATGGACTTTCGTGGGCACTTAACAGGTTTAATGCAGTGTGTAGATTGAGATGAGATAAAGAGGTTGAACGAATACCACATTACCAACGTTTTGTTGCCCTTTCCGATAAAGTGTGTACTTGTGCGTGTCATTTTTATTTGTTGCTACTCTTATCAATCATCGATGTCCATTGTACTTTGTAACATCTCACTCCGTTTTTTGTGTGATAGTGCCCTTTGCAATGTTGTTGATGTTTATTGGGATACTGACCAGGACAAAAGAGAGAACGGGAGTAAGTTCATATTAAATTCTTAGTGCATTGCCATCCAAATTTTGCTTGCAATATCGTGCAAGAGATCAGTAGCGAGTGAAGAAAAGCCAAGTTCCAAGCATCCTGGACCCTTTTGCTTCACCGTCGACATTGTGTCCTCCTCTTGCATGTGATGGCCACACACACACAATGGTTGTTCTAAGCGTTAATGTAGTTCTGATAGGTTACGACTTATAATTTATAAACATCAATGAACATAAGACAGAGAACACCTAAATTACCATCTGTCCGTCCGATCACTGGACAGTTGGGCCAGACCGGGCCACAGACGTTTTGGTCGGAGGTTCCGTACGCCAGTTCTTCGGGGACAACTGATTTTTGGCAAATCCTCGAGTCATTTGCGTCAGTTGAAAATTGGGGGGTGTCACCACCAGAAGGTGCACCTACCCCCAGGGGGGAAAATGGGGCCCTTTAGAGAGGGAAAAGAAAAAGAAAAGCAGGGTAGAGGGGTGTGAAGGCGGTCTGCTGCAAGCAGCTGCAGAGAAAAAAAATGAATAACAAGAAGCGTGGAGGTTAGGCGTGCTGCGGCAGCAGTACCAGATGCAGAAGATTCAGCAGTTGCAGCAGCTACAGAGAGAGGAAAAGAAAAGAAAAAAAAAGAAAAAGAAAAAAAAAAGAGTGGGACTCGAGGGGGGACAGATCACCATTCAGTATGAAGTGGCCTGCAGCAGTTGCAGCTAGACCAGCAGTTGCACCTCGTGCAGCAGCTGCATCTAGTCCAACAGTTAGACCTCGTGCAGCAGCTGCATCTAGTCCAATAGTTAGACCTCGTGCAGCAGAGTTCCAACAGCCCCTCCAGCAGTTGCAACAGCTACTAGCAGCTAAACCTGGTCCACCAGTTGCACCCCACCTGGTGCAGCAGGAACAGCAGCAGCAACAGCTGCACCTGGTGCAGCCGCAGCGTACATACACGCATGCTTCTCCAGCAGCAGCAGCTGCACCAGGAACAACCCCCCCGCATGCCCACCCACGCACGCACGCACACCCACCCACTCCCACGTATGCGCACCCACCCATGCACACCGACCCACCCACGCATGCACACACACACACACACGCAGACACACTGTAGTGCTGCCAGTATGTGCCATCAGGTGGTCGATATCCCTATGGAGTCTGGACACTATTGCTGACTTTGAAATTGCCAATCTCATGCTCCATTGGGACAGGTCAGCGTTCAGCGACAAACTTTGTCAGCGCGACCTACATGAAGGTCAAGCATATATACATTCGAGTATCGGTGCATTGATGATACCCTGTCCCGGATCCAGAATAACTCCCCACCCCCTCCTCAGTCCACGAAGCTCGAGCATCAGATCATCTTCTCTCAGACAAACCACCTCCCTCTCAATCAGACCATCCTCTCCACCGCCCGCCACCTGCTGACCTTCCTGTGATCCGCCCTTTCAACCTATATCTCAACCACCCTTCCTGTATCCTAGTGAAGATCATGTTCTCCTCCCTGCGACCGCGGGCCTCCTTCACACAAGCCGGAAGCGTCTCTCTATCATCTTGTACTGCCTGTCCAACCCATCAGCACAGAGAGGTGTGCTGCAGTCAGTCCGGTTATGAACTCAGTTCTACATGAAACAACAACATCTCAGAAGTCTGTCAGCGAACTGTCAGCAGCAGCGTCTCAGTGCACTGACAGTGAGCTTTCAGTGAACTGGCAGTGAGCTTTCAGTGAACTGTCAGTGAGCTTTCAGTGAACTGTCAGTGAGCATTCAGTGAACTGTCAGTGAGCTTTCAGTGGACCGTCGGTGAGCTTTCAGTGAACTGTCAGTGAGCTTTCAGCAAATTGTTAGCAAAATGTACGAAAACTGTTTCAAGACTTGGCTTGACTTGGCTTGACTTGAATTGACTGGTTGATGCAATTTCCCATCTTTGCAAGATGGAGAGAAAAAGGCGGAACATTTTTTGCGAAAGGCGGGCAGGGGAAGGAGGGGAGGGGGAGGGGGTGGGGGTGGGGAGGGGAGGAGAAGGGAGGAGAGGGGAGGAGGGTGGGTGGGATGTTGAGCTTGGTATTGGTAAATGCATCCATGGTTACAGGGATCGCCAGACTCTCCGTGGGCATACTCACACTGGAACTTTTTCAATTTCTTTGTGGACGTGATTGTGGTCAGGTGCATTCAAGCAGGGTTGGAAAACTGGTTATATACATCCTCGAAAGTTCTAGTGTGAATATTCCCCTGGGCATTTTTTCGTACCAAAGCAGAGGTTGCAGCGGGAGAGTGGGACTCGTGTTTTTTTTTTTTTTTTTTTTTTTTTTTTTGGTCAACTGCCCAGGGGAGATACTCGCACACAAAGCTCTCTTATTTCGCATGAACCTGGGGTTAATTCTGGCTAGATACATGGGCACGGAAGTCCCCTGTGACAGCCAGTACGCCCTCACGCCCCTCTCTCACCTCAGAAGGTTGAGAAGCTGCTATCAGGGGAGATACTCGCACACAAAGCTCTCTTATTTCGCATGAATCTGGGGTTAATTCTGGCTAGATACATGGGCACGGAAGTCCACTGTGACAGCCAGTACGCCCTCACGCCCCCCTCTCAGCTCAGAAGGTTGAGAAGCTGCTGCCAGCTGTGTACCGCACTTTCAGCAGAAGCAGCAGCAGACACACAGAGCATATGCTCCCACCAGGACTTTTTCGACTCGACGCTGGACGTAGTTGCAGCCAGATTCATGCAGGTGAAGGTGGAAATCTAGTCAGATACATTCGTACAGGAAAGTCCTAGTGTGAGTATGCTGACAAAGCTATTCGATTGATTGATCGACTGATCTGATTGATTTGCCTTGATTGATTCGATGGATTGATTGATTGATTGATTGATTGGTTATTTGCTGCCGTTGGCAGAGGCTTCACCACCACCCACAAACTTTCATTCATTTCAATTTCCCATTTCTCTGTCAAAAAAAAAAACAAAAAAAAACTCCATCACTCTCGACTCTCCCCCCCAAAAAAACACAAAAAACAACAAAAACACTGATGGTCAACCGCCCCCCCCTTTCCCCCTCAACACCCCCCCCCCACCAAAAAAAAGAAAAAAATTCAAAAAAACGAAAAGAAAAAGAGGGTCAGCGAATCACTGCACTGACGGTAGATAGGGCAGCGAGCCAAATGAGGAGCATGCCAGCTAGACAAGCTCGACCGTAACAGTACGCGGGTATCAGAAGCCAGGCCCACCCTCCCAGAGACCCAATTGCCAGTCCCACTACGAGGGAGAGGACCATGAGCTGTCCCGCTGCCTCAGCCTCGTGTAGTTCCACTTGCTTGGGTGCCTCCATCATAAGCAGAGACATTAGGTGCCCGTTGGATACTCCAAGCGCCAGCGTGATGAGCATGACGTACGCTTCGTTGTGAAACATTTCCGGCCCATAACTAATCAGCGCGAAGAGCGGGAAAAATAGTCCCCGCCACAATGTGCACCTCATCACGACCAGCTGGTTCTTGACCACGTGGACCAGCGGGAACATCTTACCCGCGAAATCCCCCAGATTATAAGATGAGATCAACAGAACCGGGTACCAATTACCGAACAGAGTAGAATGGATGTCTTCCGTAATAAAGCCCGGGAAAATGGACAAGGTAACGACAAACATCCACGTCACGCTGGCCATGTAACCCTTGATATGCCAGGCCACTTGAGTAACACTGACAGCTGGCACTGTTTTGCGATGAGTTGAATGTAGTCCGCCTTCACCGGCAGCAGACGAAGGAGGAGGAGGTAGCAAAGGGGAGGAGATTGCATCCCCAACAACGTCCAAATTCCTACTCCCTCCTGCTGCTCCTCCGACGATCCCGATCCCGGCCATCATCCTTCTCTTAGCCTCCGTGAGAATCCCTTTGGGCGGCGACTTGACAAGTCCATCACTCTCCACTCCAAGAAGAGCACGATCATCATCATCATCACTATGATTACAACGATCGTTTTCTTCTTCTTCCCAATTCCTCAACTCGCCTTCATTCCTGCCGGCTCCTCCTCCTCCTCCTCCTCCTCCTCCTTCTTCTGCTCCGCTAATCACAGGACTACGATCGGGATCGCCCGACGGGACCCTGAGTATCACATCGGCGCCGGCGGCGCCTTCTCTACCAGCACCAACAGCAGCAGCATTCGCCGCCCTCCCGATCCCAACGGCTTGCTCGGTGCTGCCTCTACCGCTGCCCCCCCGACGCCCATGCGCATCCCCAAACTTTCCTTCCTCGTCGCCGCGATCCCGACCTCCACGTTCCCCGCCGCCACCTCCGCCACCTCCCCCACCTCCCTTGCTCCCCCTACCCCCCCAATCCCGATACCGATGGTACTTCACGACAGGCAACGACCGCACCACGGGGAAGCCAACCATGCACAGCAGCTCACAAACGAACGCTACTAAGAAGTACACGTAGGCACTCTGCCGTAGCGGCAAAGCCGCCTTGGTCGCTGATCGCAGTAAAGATACGAAGATTCCAGATGCCGCCGTTCCCGCCACGATCGCTTGCGTGTACCTGGTCGGCAATTCCCCGACGAAAGCGAACGCACTCCCTTGGGCCAGGGCATCCGCTGCGCCCGCGATGGCAATCGAGACCACAGTCAAGATGAGTGTAGCTGGAGTCCCGCGCACATGGGAGATAGTACTCTCGCTACTCCTTACTCCACACCAGTCCACCAGAGGGACTACCAGAACGCTCACAGCGTAAAGAGCGAACCCGAACAACGCCCGGGAGGAGGAGGAGGAATGTCTGCCAAGGAAAACCAACAGAAGAAGGAAGAGGAGCAAGGGGAAGATGTAGGAGATGCTGACGACCCGATCGACGTGGAGACCAGGATAGATGTCACCGAAGTAATCAATGGCAGTAATGAACGCATTCCAAGGCATAAGAATGCCCAGGCCCAGCCAGAAGAAGATGGCATACGCCAGGTTCCACGTGTCATCAGGAGGGGGAAGGATTGATCCCTGCTTACCTGTCTTACCTTCCATGACTGCTCTCTCTCTCTCTCTCTCTTTCTCTCCCACCTTCTCACCACTTCTCCCCTCACTAGCTACCTCCTTTGCGCTTCGTTCCCCTTCATCCTTCCTCCCTCCTCGTTCGCCCCGTGCCGCCCTCCATCCCCGCTGCGCTGTCATCCTTCCTCCCTCCTTGATCTTTCTCCTCTGTGTCGAGCGCTGGCCGCAGCAGTGAATCAGAACAGTAATGACAATGGATCTCGATGACTACACCAGATTCTCGAAAATTTGAGAGTTCTGCCTC